TCGAATCGCAAGCTTGTGAATGAGAATCGAATCGAATCGTGAAATTTGTGTCAAAACCCAGCCCTAGTAAACATGCAAATCAGCATCACAACAGTAGTCAGTTTCCAGTCTTCTGAAGCCTTGGTGTGAGTAACAGACTGAAATTGAAGTCTTTTACTTGCTGAACTCATTCCCCTCAAATCAGATAAGAACTTCAGATAATGATGTCCAACGCTACAGCTCTTGCATGTCTGGTAAACTAAATGCAATGCACCTTGTCTGATTTTATCCAGCGCAGAGGGCAGGAGAGAGATGAATCACGTCAGCACTGTCTGCTTTATAAAGAGCAGAAGTCATTTGAGTCTCCTCAGGCCTTGTGGACTTCCTTATTTTCACAAGCTCTACTTCCTGTTAACAGCTGCCTTGCTTGTAGAGTTGCAATAGTGATGTTTCCAATGTCATCTCAAGACAAATCTTTATTTCAGCCATCGGGGCTGGCGCAACCGAGGGATTCCCAAACTAACCTTTTTGAAATAAAATATTTTCTTGAAGTGTCCCTGAGGTGTTAAGATAATATTTCACAACAGGGTTATTATTGTTAACTAAAACTATTACCAGCTTTTATGTTGAAAATAAAATGAAATATAAATGTTAAAAGCATAAACTAAATGAAAATTAGAGATGTTGCCTTGGCAACTAACTGCAGTTTGAGATGAATCACTAAAATTACTAACTGGAAATAAAAACTGAAAAAAAAAAAATTTGTTTTTTATTAAAATGGAAAATATGAAAAACATTAATTAAATAATACTAAAATAACACTGTTTAACAACACATTCACATGTTCATGGGTCTCTAATGTTGGTTAATGATCACATGACAAACAGGTAAATAAATAAAAACGGAAACTAAAATAAAAAATAAATTAATAATATTAAAGAAAAAATTACAAGCACATAAAAAATTGCAAAAAAATATACATTTTTAAAAATTAAAATGGAAAATATGAAAAACATGAATTCAAAATACTAATAGAATTATTATAGTATGTAAATAATACAAAAATAACACTGTTTAACAACACATTCGCATGTTCATGGGTCTCTGATGTTGGTTAATGGTCACATGACAAACAGGTAAACAAAACGGAAACTGAAATGAAAATTAAACCTAAATAATATTTAAAAACAAAAAAATAAAGATAAAAAAACACACAACAAAATTACTAAAAAATTCACTATAATTAAAATGAAAATAAAACCTAATTCAAAATATAAATAAAAGCAATAGTATATAAATAATACTAAAATAAGACACACATTTAACCACACATTTGTGTGCTCACGGGTATACTGAAATAAAAAATTAATCCTAAAAACTAAATTACTAAAAAATAAACTATAATTAAAAATAAAAGCTAATTTAAAATACTAATAAAAACACCATAGCGCATAAATACACTGTTTATCAATACAGTTGCATGTTCACGTTTCTCTGATGTTGGTTAATGGTCAAAATAATGTTTTATTGTGATTGTTATATTTTAAAAAATATCTTTATTTTTATGATTTAGTTCATTATAGCTTCTCATCGACTCAAGAACCCCAGTTTAGGAAACACGAGCAAAATAAAATTTAGTATATTAAAATATTCAGATTTTTCCTCATGAATTTTTGGAAAGGCATCTAGGGCTGCCACTGATGACTATTTTTATTTCGATTAATCTATCGACTAGTTTATCGATTAATCTAAACGATTAATTCCCCGCCCAAAAATCTACAGTTTTACTTAAGAATATTTTATTAAACTATATTTCATTAAAGCAAATGAAATCCAAAAGTAAGTCACTAACGATTATTTAGGTAATCGAGTAATCTGTCAATTATTCTAACAATTAATCGAGTAATCGGATAATTATAATTTATTTTTTTGTGGTAATAAAAATAGATGTAAGTGAACAATAGCCTTTAAAATTAATTAAAATACATATATAATAACAATGAGGCAATAATAATAAGTTCAAATAAAGTATCAAAAGTAAGAAATCATA